GCTGAAAACAGGTTCAACACTGAAATGTTTCATCAAGACCTCTTTAAGTGACCAAGTTTCCACAGCTTAGCAATCTATCACACAGTAGCAGAGCAGGAGCAGTATGTAGCAAACCAGTCTTGAACTAAATTGTGTAAAGTAAAATGCATTCAAAGCAAATTGAAGTAAATGGTGTCAATTTAAATAGCTATTTACTTCATAGCAGTTCACTCTAAATCAATGTCTATTTGATTGCACTAAGCATTCTAGACGTTAAAAAAAAAATTGCAGATACACTACCAAAGGATATGACTGCAGATAACTCCACATTTTCTATAGCTAAACTTTTCTGTGGAACTTCATTAAAAAAACCTCAACTTTTCTGACAGCAAGGGAAATATATACTGTCTTATACCAGTATCTACCAGCTATGTATATCTGTAATTAGTAACATATATTTTTAGCTTAAATTAACCATTACTGCTTTTTCCTTCTATGGGTAGCAACTCATTAATAGCAGAAAAAGAAGTAAAATTATTATTTTCTCTGCAGAAGTTGTAGGACTCTGCAGGACTGCTGTAACCAGTACATGTAAAACTAAATCTGGACACCATACACCTTAACACCATGAGACTTTTGCAAGTATTTTGGATAACAAGGTGTTGTAACTAGCCATGTTTTGTTCTGCTTCCCAAGTCCGCAGGTGCACTGTTCAAGAATGACAAGAGCCATCACATGCTAGAAGCAGATGTGCTCATCATGTATTAAATTATACTTTCTAAGACTCTGATCCTAGACAGAGCTTTAGGCAAATCACTTTGTATTTGTTAAACCTTAGAGAAAGACCAATGCCTTAGCTAATGCTAAAGCAATACTAATCCCATCCAAGCATAAGAGGATCTCATGAGTCTGAGCTGCTTCTGTAGGAGATAAAAACAACCCCCTGCCTAACTTCGTTTTTTTCTGCGTAAAATTTTTACTGTAATTTTCAATACTGAACACAGACTACTCCGTACAGAGAGTGTTCTTATGTTACCTTTATAATCTATTCTGCAGCATTGGTATGTAAAATTAAATAGATGCTACTGCTTTTCTGGGGCAGGGGAGAAATAGAATATAAGCGGAATTGAAACTTGCCAACTAAATTCCATTTACTTGTTCAGAAAGATTGTATGAAGCTTTAATATATACATGTATTAAAAACTATAAAATAATGGTAGTAAAGAAGCAGTTCATTAGGATTATAATAACCCTGTTGATCCTTCTTGTAATACAAGTGACTGTAATTTTCCAAGGCATTATCTACTAAGAAGTTAAGAAGGAAAAAACTATCTGACATATGTCTGTCAATATAAACCACCAAATAGAATACTTCAATATAATAATATAATACATTTGTTCCCCTAAAAACTTCATGTTTTCATTGTACCCTATGGCTTGATTTAAAGTATTTATACTGAAGCACAAAATAATCCACTTAAGAAATGTAGTTATCATGGAACTGATCAAAGACATGCTTTTCTTTTCAAAATTATGAGGAAAGGCTAAGGGAGCTGGGTCTCTTTAGTTTGGAGAAAAGGAGACTGAGGGGTGACCTCATCAATGTTTACAAATACGTCAAGAGAGGTTCTCCTTCCCCTCTATTCTGCATTGGTGAGGCCGCATCTGGAGTATTGTGTCCAGTTCTGGGCCCCTCAGTTCAAGAAGGACAGGGAACTGCTCGAAAGAGTCCAGTGCAGAGCTACAAAGATGATTAAGGGAGTGGAACATCTCCCTTATGAGGAAAGGCTGAGGGAGCTGGGTCTCTTTAGCTTGGAGAAAAGGAGACTGAGGGGTGACCTCATCAATGTTTACAAATATGTAAGGGGTGAGTGTCAGGGAGATGGAGTTAGGCTTTTCTCAGTGATGACCAGTGATAGGACAAGGGGCAATGGGTGCAAATTGGAGCATAGGAGGTTCAAGGTGAATATCTGAAAAAAATTTTTTACTGTGAGAGTGACAGAGCCCTGGAACAGGCTGCCCAGGGAGGTTGTGGAGTCTCCTTCACTGGAGACATTCAAAACCCACCTGGATGCGTTCCTGTGTGATGTGCTCTGGATGACCCTGCTCTGGCAGGGGGGGTTGGACTAGATGATCTTTTGAGGTCCCTTCCAACCCCTAGGATTCTATGATTCTATGAAAATTATAATAACATAGATGGTTTTCATGCCTTTTATTCATTCCCCACAGATAGCATAGTAGAGATGCATTCCATTTTGTGGCCAATTCCAGTCTTGCTATGTCTTACTTTAATATTACACATTTCATAAGAAAGTGATGTCTTTACTGCATTTTCATGCATTTAATAATGATAATGGTTAAGGAGCACAGCACTGGCTCTGTTCCAAGGGTTCATACCCCTTGAATCCAGCAAAACTCACAGAGCTCTCATCATGAGAGCAAGAATCCATTCACTCCAGACCTTGAGACCAGAGTGACTAATAGGCATGGTCAGAACTTTCTGACATAATGTCACTGGGCCTGAAAAGAACAATTCATAAAATGCAAAAGGTTTGTTGTGTTTTGTGGTGTTCGGTTCTCTTTTCTTTTCTAAAAATATACCAGCTCATTCGTTTAGGAAATCATTGCTATTCCTAAGGCCTGGCTTGCTTAACAGTATGAACCCAGAAGCATAAGCCCAAGAAGCCAGTAAAAGTACATGTCCCTGAGGACTTGTTAGGTTGGTTGAGCTCACAGTTGCTATGTAAAACTGTAATTTTTTGTTAGCAGGAAAACTGAGGCATGTCAGACCCTCTGGCTACGTGATCTGGGGATCTATCAGCTGGACATCACCACCAAATACTTGATTTCTTCCTGTTCTCTAAGTAGGAGGCTGTGCATACAAGAAATTATGTAAACCACAACTAAAATGTCAATTCTCAGTTCTTACTGCATGCATGAAAATATTCATCTAAGACTAGCCAGTTACACAGAAACTGTGCATTCATGGAAAGGCATGCAGTCACCTGGCCCTTCTGCAACTCCATAAGCAGAGACAGAAAGGTTCCTTCAAGGCAAAGAAAAGCAACTTTCTCACCCACCAAGAAACTCTTACTGCCTGTGGGACACTGTTATCACAATTCCTTTGAGTTTACAAGGAGATGAGGCAAAAAAAAAAGGGAATGGAAATCTTACAAGTCTGTGGCACGAAGATCTGCCATCTTTCCCCTCCTGTCTGATTTAGCTGATGTGTTGGAAGAACCTTTTTGCCACCCTCCATTGCAAAAGAAGTTTTATCTTTCCGTTTTTAGTACAATTATATATCAGCTCTAGACCAGCAGGAGATCAATATGAAAAGCTGGAAAGGAGCTGTTAGCATAAATATTATTTAGCTGCTAGGCACCAATATAACACAGTAAACATTATATAACGAGCAATCATTTTCATATCCCATTCTACTCCAACGTTAAAGGATTCACCAGGGAGCTTTCAGCCTAACCATCAAGCATTCCTCTATATTAACCGCATAGCCTGCTATCTCCCTGCAGGGGTATTTTAATAAATTATCCATTGACTCCTTCTAGTGTAATAATCTTTTTACAGATGTGACCAAACATATTAAATTCAACGTTACAAAGAAGTTAACTTATCTGTTTCCAGAGAGAAAAAACATGTAATTTTTCTTCAATGGCTTACACATTTCAACATGTAGCTGAGATTATGCACAATCACACAACCACTAGGGTGATTTGTAGTCCAAGTCTGTTTGAGCATTAAAATGGTAATAATTCTTCTATATATCACACTACAGTCTTACAAGAGTAATACTGAAGATTTTCTGTAATGTTCTTGGAAGTAAGGATGGGCTTTCTATGTAAGATTGCTGTAGACTATCTATGCTGCATACTTCAGAAAATGATCAGGGCTATAAGCAGTCATGAGTGACACAAGGAAAGATGAATGCAAGTGTCAAGCCTCTCTGCTGTTGCATCATTACATGTACCCCACCCCAAATGGGGTTAACAGAGACTAAGGATACCCTTGCAATAAACACTTCACCTGTTTCTACACATGATGCAGCACTGTGTTAATTACCTGCAAATTATCACAGCCTGAGCAAGGAGCAATACAACTGCTTGGCTCAGCAGCAGAACCTGATGGCAGAGCTGTCTGCTCTTTAGCTAGAAGTCCATTAATTTCATTATCGCTTGTGATTGTCACCAGTGCAGTGACAGCTTAAAATGAAGGCAACTACATTTAGGTTTCTCTATGTAGACACTTAAAAGTTGATGTAATCTTTAGAAATTCCATCATTACAGTCAAAGGTGCCAAAAAAGCAAGTCCAACACAAAGTAAACACCTACTAGGTGTTTAGCTGAAGGCTCCACTAACTATATAGATTACTACTCTAGGTAATGCAGTTTGGACACATCAGCCCATGAAGCCACACATCCTTGCCTTGATCTGGAACAGAATCACAGAAACACCAAGGCTGGAAAAGACCTTTAAGATC